TGTGTGAAGTAATTAAAACATCCAGTGTGCGAGTGTGTGTATATACAGTACACCGAGGGTGTACACTGTACAACAGACAGTGTAGGTGTACACAACTCACCTCTATGGCTCCTCTCCACTTATCAGCAGCATGACGAGCTATTTCCAGTCTCTTTTGTTTCCGTATCTGATGTTTTTTGTAAATAATCTCAATAATAATGAGGCCAATCCCCCCAACAATACCAACAGCCACCAGAATGAACACCCCGGCCATATTCTTGAGGCCTAAGGTCGCCGGCGCCTTTTCATCCGTGTTACAGATATCCTCTTGGTTCTGTAATATCCACTTGTTATCCAGCTCCTCCATGTACCCGCTCTCGTGGAACTCTAGGATGGCGAGGGTGACGCGGTCCGCCCAGGGGGAGTTCTTCTTGAGACCGATGCCATAACCGGAGCGACCGAACAGTTCCCCCGCCGTGACTAATTCACAGTCTTGGGCTGCCTCGTACTCCAGGCGTGAACTATCCCAGATGAAGGCTTTTAACTTCCTGCAAGATTTAAATTGTAAGAAAAAAATATTTATTCTAGTGTACAGTTGCCTCCAGGTGTGTTGTTAACCACTACCTTGCTTACTTGGCACTGTGGCACTACTCATGGCTAGGGAAGTGACTTCCTAGCCATGAGTAGTGCCACGGTGCCACCTAAGTAAGGGAGGCAAAGTAGGAGGGAGTAACAACACACCTGGAGGCGACTGTATACATGATCTGTGAAGCATATTATTATTATTATTATTATTATTATTATTATTATTATTATTATCATCATTACAACTGGTGCATAACACGTATATAAAGACCCTTATCATTACAATCCACAAAAAAAATGGTTCAAACATCGAAAACAGACAAAAAAGCTAATTAAATACATTCCAAGTTCGGCACAGCAGAGACCCCTAACCCAGATAAGGACTTCACTCACCCGGACTTGACAGCAGCGATGGCGGCTTCGGCTGTCAGATAGTTATTCCCTTCCATAGTACGGTACATATTACTTAACTCTACCTGCCGACGGAAGTACATATCCACTGACGAGCCTTTAACGGTAGCGTATGTGAAATTCTCCATTGGGTTCCGTAACTGGTGGATGAAAGAGAGAAAAGAGATTAATATTTACGTTGAATGATGATAATGTTTTGTGATGGCATGTATATAGTGATTACAAGACCTATTCTATATACACATTATTTATATTTGTTTTAGTTTGTTGTTTGGGGGTTAAAAGACCACCTGAAGATTAGCCACCCCCCCCCCAATAAAGAAGTTTAGTACAGACAGACGGAAATACAGACAGGCAGAAGGGTTGAAATAGGAATATAGACAGAGAAACAGACAAAGACAATAGCAGATGGAATAAGAATAAACACAGAACAGACACAGACAGACAAACACAGACAGACAGATAAACAGACAGACATACACAGACAGAGATACAGACAGACACACAGACAGACACACACAAACACAGACAGACAGATAAACAGACAGACATACACAGACAGAGATACAGACACAGACAGACACACACAGACAGAGAGACCCTCCCAAATAAACACACACTCACCCTAGCATCGTTAATACCAGTTAGTGAGGTCTGTGGTCGGTCTAACACCAGGAACGCAGCGAGGTTGGCAGTATACGAAGCTACGATAATCATGGCAAATCCGGCCCACACCATGCCCAACACCCTGGCACTGAAACTCCTGGGTGTACCTGTAATGAGAAGAGACAGGTAGGTGTAGTATACTCCTGGGTGTACCTGTAAAGTGGTGAGTGTAGGGAGGTGTAGTAGGGTGTAAGGGGGTGTAGGGAGGTGTAGTAAGGGGGTGTAGTAGGGTGTAAGGGGGTGTAGGAAGGTGTAGTAAGGAGGTGTAGTAGGGTGTAATAGGGTGTAAGGGGGTGTAGTAAGGAGGTGTAGTAGGGTGTAGGGAGCTGCAAAATGGTTTAATAGGGTGTAGGGAGCTGTAGTAGGGTGTAAAAGGGTGTGTAAGAGTATGAAGGCGTCAACAAGCTCTATTACCTGGGCCAGACCACGTGACCTTACCTTCACCTATCCCGCTGTTGAGCAATACACCCCAGGCGAACCATATGGCAGAGGAGAGGTTGAGAGCGTCCTCTTCTGTTCCGTCCATGTTGGCTAGTTTGTACCTGAAGCAGTGAGGAGACATAATGTTGACACTCTTTAAATATACACATACACTTATTATAGATCAATGTGTTCTAATAGAGTCCACTTTCAGTACGTGAGGCGGCCATTGTGAATTACTACTACTAGTGATGTTGGTCAAGGAAACCCGTTTGGTGGTTGGCCACAAGTGGGTGTGGAATTGAACCAATCAGGAGATAGAATATTAGCAGGGACAGACGGTAACTAACCAATCAAGACATTGCTTCTGTGAGTTACCCAGAATTCCCGTGATATAAAGGGGCGTACACTCGCTACAAAAAGTATCGGTGCATACTGTAGTGTGAACAATTTGAGACCAGTGACGATAGGTATTGGGAAAGGCGAGTTGTTCCAGCCGTATGTTGGCAGCCCCGATTGTCAGCCAAATGGCAACACCTAGTGGAGGGGGGGGGGGGATATGAGGATACAGTTACCAACCTTCCCGACATATCACAGTGTATACGTATGGTTTCGGAACTCGTCGATCTCACCCTGCACCGATACTTTATGGTGCGAGTGAACAACAAGTCTTAACTCAGTGTGATCTACTCAAGACTGCCCCACACCGAAATTGCTTGCTGCCTTACCGTCTATAACATCATTGTGATAAGTATATAAGTCCGAGATGTATAATAGTGGAAATGAAGTTAGATGTTATGTGATGTTGTGATTATGGCTATTTAACTTTTGATTGGTATATATATAAAGACGTTTAGTTTCTGTTGTTTAGGAAATTAATTTAAATGTTTGTAAAGAAGGTGTTTTCGTGGAGTTTAAAGTGAAGTCAACGTTACAGGGGACTTGTGTTATATCGACTCCTAACTGGTTTAAGAGTCGATCCAGGTTTATTTTATATTGTATCTGAACCCAAAGTTAGAATACCTGAACCCAAAACTTAAAGTATATGAACCCAAACACGACTCACCTGCCAAAGGGACTAAACCTGTCGAGGAGGTAGAGAACAAGGGCTACGACGTGCACTGACACCATCACCAGAATCCACAGTGTGTTGCGGAAAGGTTGAAGGAAGGATACCAACGTGGAATACCGAGGTTGCTGCCGACACACACAATAATGTATTAGTTTACTCTGAGTTGATGAAGCTGAATGAAACTTTCCCCGATTCACATGACAGAGAGAGAGATAATGGATATCATAAATGAGAGAAAGTGAATGAAACTTTCCCTGATTCACATGACAGAGAGAGAGATAATGGATATCATAAATGAGAGAAAGTGAATGAAACTTTCCCTGATTCACATGACAGAGAGAGATAATGGATATCATAAATGAGAGAAAGTGAATGAAACTTTCCCTGATTCACATGACAGAGAGAGAGATAATGGATATCATAAATGAGAGAAAGTGAATGAAACTTTCCCTGATTCACATGACAGAGAGAGATAATGGATATCATAAATGAGAGAAAGTGAATGAAACTTTCTCGGATTCGCATGACAGAAAGAAAGGAACTAACTGTACACTGTAAACAAACCCTCACCTTTCTTTCCACGATGGTGATGCCTTGGTACTTGAAGGGTTTGGAGAACTCTATAACCTGTGCTCTCTCCGGGTTGATGGTCAGCGGCGCCACAATCATATCCGCTCCGTGTGTCTGATTCACCAGTTGGCCAATGAGACCCGTCCATTCCTTCTTGCCTACAACACGACACCAGTGAGATGCAACATGGTAGGAGGAATGAGAGTGGACTAGTTTTATGTGTTGACCTTTCACAATAAGGTATCCCCCCGATTTACGATATCTCGGTTTATTTACGATAGCTCCCAATTTATAACGTACAATTAAGATATGCGATTCGATTTACGTGGCAGGAGGAATGATAGTGGACTAGTTTTAAGTGTTGACCTTTCATAATATAGGTAGTCCCCCGATTTACGATATCTTAATTTATAACGGTAAATACGATTCTATTGACGACAGGAGCTACAGGGCAGTAACCCATCGTAAATCGAAGTAGACCAGCACCAGCTAAACCTCTTCTCGGTATTGTTAACATCTTTTTTTTCTTTTTATACTAAATTTTAAGATTAGTTACGATGCAAGCCATTAAAGAGGTGATCATTACACTTAATACTCGTGTTAAATGTGTGTTAACTTATATAAAGGGAGTTTTTGTTACATATACGTCACAACACACAATTCCACCTCTTCTCTTACCTGTGAAATCATTAACCTGTACTGACATCATCATATCCCCTCACCTGTAAAATCATTAACCTGTATTAACACCATAAGAAACACCTTTAGTTTTCCTCACCTGTGTTTTCATTCATCCGTAGAGACCCAAACTGACCATCAGGGGAGAGAGCGAGTTCGAAGGTGAAGTTGATCTTATTAGCTAGTGTGTTGAGCAAATCGATGCAGTAGCCAGTACAGCAGTAGAGGTCGGCCCCATCCCCTGAGGTGTTATACCATGGACACAAGACTCGGCCACCACCCAGACACTCTGCCTTGCTCTCGATCTTCTGCGTCGTCACAAAGGGCTTCTCCTCGATAGTTAGGACCTGTAGGAGGGGAAGAAGGAGGTTAGTGTGGTAGAGTATATTGATGTTTTATGCTTTATTGTTTTAATTGTTGTTGTTATCTTTGGTTGTTTTTTGTACTTCGGTTACGTGTGTGTGTGTGTGTGTGTGTGTGTGTGTGTGTGTGTGTGTGTGTGTATGCTTGGACCCACTCTCCTATTGTATCGCTGGATAATATATATACGTCATCAAGTACCACACGTACCATAGGACCATCAAGCACCACACGTACCATGATGTACCACACGTACCTTCAACCTGGTGGGGATCATGTAGCCTTGAGGCTTGATGGTGGTGTTGCCGGGCCATACGATCGCATTTTCATTAATTTCCAACGTCATGGTTTCCTTCGTCTAGCAGTGGAGAGATGACGTCACGGTGAAGGTTGGTTAGATGACGTCACAGCGAGAGTTGTTTAGATGACGTCACAGCGAGAGTTGTTTAGATGACGTCACAGCGAGAGTTGGTTAGATGACGTCACAGCGAGAGTTGGTTAGATGACGTCACAGCGAGAGTTGGTTAGATGACGTCACAGCGGAGGGGGGGTGGAGAGATGAGGAGAGGGAGAGAAGTAAACATATCTAGAATATTAGTAAATTAGTTAAATATAAAGGTCATAATTATGTTGAAAGAAGGGAAGAATTCTGACTTGTAATGAAGAGTAATTTTAGGATCACCTGAAGATTAAGCCCCCCTAGATTATTTTACCTTACTACTCTAACGATACCTTGGTGGTGGGGGGGGGGGGGTTAGGTTAGGGTATGTTAGGTTAGATTAAGGTTAGGTTAGGTAATGCTAAGTGGTTAAGTTAGGTCAGATTAGGTGATTAGGTTAGGTTAGTTTAGACTAGGTTAAGTTAGCGATATGATAGACAATTTTAAGGTGAAATAAGCCGAGGTGTTAATCTTCAAGTGATCATATTAACAAGAAGTTTATTAATAATTACTCATATAAGAAGTATTATCGAGCCTTTTATCGTCACTTTTAATACACGCGAGCTGTATGAAAGTGTGTATGGAAGTGTGTATACATTTTTCTGAGACACTGTGTGCTTTCGTCTGGGTGTGTCTTTTGACGTGAAGGTTTGACCCGAGTAACTTATCTGGTTAGGCTGAAACAAGTCGATTATTATAGAAATCTTAAAAAGTTTCTAAGTTGATAAAATTTGAGGTTTGGTTAGGTTAAGTTTTTTTATTTTATTCAGTTTGTTATTTTAGGTTAAATTATGTTAGTTATGTTAAATTAGGTTAAGATACGTTGGGTTGGGTTAAGTTATTTTAGGTGAGGACAGGTTAGGTTAGGTTAGGTCATGAAAGTCTATGCACATCCCAAACACCATATGTATACTTGTTCTGCTGTATACTTACTTATGAATTATGTATACAGGAATAATTAAGGCGTTTAGGAAATATAATAAGATATACATAATTAGTTTTTTGAAATATTTCCTCGAGATTAGAATATGGAAGTTAAGGTATTATAGTTATTTATTAACAACTGTGAGGGAAGTGGAGGTGAACAAGAAATGAAGATATTTGGTAATGACGGGAAGACCAATTCGACGAACTTAATAAGCGTGTATGGTAGTTAGTGTACCATCTGACTGCCAGGGTTGTTTCAGTAACAGGTGACAGCGAAAAGTGACAGTGAAAAAGTAATAGTGACGATAAGAAATGACAGTGTAAAGTGACGAAAGGCAATGAAAAGCGAGTGATAATGACAAGTGACGGTGATAAGTGACAGTGACTGTGATAATGACAAGTGACGGTGATAAGTGACAGTGACGGTGATAATGACAAGTGACGGTGATAATGACAAGTGACGGTGATAAGTGACAGTGAATTGATAAATAGCCCCACCAACTTATTTCACCTGATGATTAGACTTCGTAATGATACTCTATGGGGCTAAGGGTAGGTATGGTTAGGTTAGGGTAGATTAGGTTAGGTTAGGGTAGATAAGGTTAGGTTAACTTAGGTCAGGGTAGATAAAGTTAGGTTAACTTAGGTCAGGGTAGATAAGGTTAGGTTAGCTTAGGTCAGGGTAGGTTTGGTTAGGTTAGGGTAGATAAGGTTAGGGTAGATAAGGTTAGGTTAACTTAGGTCAGGGTAGATAAGGTTAGGTTAGGTTAGGTTAGGTCAGGGTAGGTTTGGTTAGGTTAGGGTAGATAAGGTTAGGGTAGATAAGGTTAGGTTAACTTAGGTCAGGGTAGATAAGGTTAGGTTAACTTAGGTCAGGGTAGATTAGGTTAGGTTAACTTAGGTCAGGGTAGATAAGGTTAGGTTAACTTAGGTCAGGGTAGATAAGGTTAGGTTAGGGTGTTTAATCTTAAGGTGAAATAAGCTGGGTGTCTTATTCTTCACATGACCTCAGTACTCTACCTGGACAGCAACTCTTTACGACTGAAGTGAAGGAACGGATTCACAATAACATTAAACTCAATTCTGTAAATAAAACCGAAGATATAAGACAAAAACAAACGTCAAAACAATAATATTATCATAACACAACCTTGTATTATGAGAGATAACAACAGAGGCCAGCAGAGTTTTGATAAAAAATCTCTTCTTTGTAACACGGGTTTAATTTTGCCTAAAGACGTAACCCTAATCTTCATTTCCTGGTCATCGACCCTCAGACTCGGTTAAACAATTTATATAATATATTCTGAAATTACGATAGAATGCGCTTGTTCATGCTGCATAGATATAACATACTGTATAGTGAATCATGCATAACCAGGAGATTAGTAAGTAATATATAGAATTAATATAGTACTAGTTATATAACCTTTAGTTTCATATAAGTAAGATTAAGTATTTTATATCAATAGTCAAGAAAATATACAAGAGTTTTTAAGATGTAAACAAAACAAATGGAATTACCACGATGCATTCAGCACGCAAGAGACACTACTGACGGACACACAGCTACAACACTCAATTTGACTCACTCCTGACTCTGGTTGTGTATGTGTGAGTCAGCAGGAGTCATAGTTCAGTCAGTCGGTCGGTCAGTAAGTCAGTCAGTCAGTCCACGACCACCAGTAACAGTCATTGTCGGTACATGCCTTCAACCATCATGCTGTTTCATCATACTAAGAGCATCATCCTTCACTAAATTCATTATATATCATTATTAAAAATATATAGTCTGTATATTTAGTTATATTGGACGTAAAACAATATTAAGAATGTAATTATAATGTAAAAGTGCAAACTGAATAGAATTACTGTAATGATAATAATAATAAAGTTAGTAATAATAATAAGAATGTTAATGATATCAATTATAAAATAATAATAACAAAGATAAAAATAATACAAACAAATAAAAATAATGATTAGAAAAATAATAATGTCAAAAATTAAGCCGTGACACAGGTACAGGATTTAACATGGTAAGCCAGTTGTCACCTGCCCCAGGGTGCAACTTGGCGGCAACCATAAATAAGAAATAATGCACAGTGAGGCTCCAATTCTTAGATGTCACTTAGGTTGGAGTAAAACATTTCTGCCATCCTCAATTAGCTCATATTTAACTACCACCAACTAGCCAATCAGAGTCATAAGGATTTTCAACTGTTTCTGATACTTATAGATGAAATAATAAGTCTTAGTCAAGTAATACAAATAAAATACCAGGTTATTTTTACAGTCATCTGTGAGTTTCTTTCCTGATCAGCCGCTGGGGTAGTAAAACATAGCCAATGTTTTATCAGTTTTATTCATGTTATCAATCTTACTCAACCCAAAAGACGTCTCATGAATTTATGCCCAAGATCTCCGATGGTTTTAAGGTATAGATGTAAGTGTTAATTTGTCGAGCGTAAGAGTGACGGAAAGTAGTAGACTAAACAGAGTGTTAGGGATCATTATGAATTCCTGTAGTGAACCTTTGTAAGGCTCCAATTCCTCCCTCTGTGCTCCTCTGCAGACCTTATCAGTCTTAACTGGATGCTAAAGCTTGTAACTAAGTTAGCGACGTTGACACTTGTGGCCATCCTTACAGCCGCGGCACCTACAGCATGCACCTGGAGTCGTTTCTTGAGGTTAACAGGTGGAGTCTGACTGTTGTTGCAGTGTTTACAGGTGTTAATATTATGTTTACGGACTAAAACTTACATGAGAACTGGGAGACTTTAAGGTTATTTCTGGTACAAAGATGCAATTGGGTTATTTTTTTGCACCTTAATTCGGGATGCTCTTAAAAGTTTCTCATTTGACTTGACACGAGTTAGTTGTAGTTCATAAACACAGTAGTAATGTTTGTCAACAAAAGTCTTAAGCAACAGTAAGGTGCCAGCTGTTAACACTAATATTACTCCTTAATACTCAAGGTCAGAGGGGGATCTACATTTTGTAGTAATATAGAAATACATAATGATACTTTTTTAGAATTTTGTTCCGAAAATTTTAAATCTACTTTGGTTTGTACACCAACATGTAGAGATGATATTAGACCAGATATCTTGTGATGAGACACATGATTGTATTAAAATTGTACATACAGTAAACAGGTAAATCTCTGAAAGTTTATCAAGGTGGATGGTTCATGAACTCCCTCGAAAAATTCAGGAAAAAGCTCTCCCATTCCTAACCCCAACTAATAATGAACAATAAAACCATGAAAATAAAACATTCCTTAAAAAATGGTGGCAGCGGTGGGATCCAAACCCACGCCTCAGATGATTTAATAATTAATATTTTGCCAGGAGCAGAAGAATAAGTAGCAATAATAAAATGAGAAAATGATTGAGAGAAACATCCAACTTGATGACGATTGCCACTACTCTCCAGTGTAGCAGTGTGTGTGTCGCCGGGGTAGGTCACTGGTGTAGCGACAGGCACCAGCACTCAGTCGGTCTGAGATGTTATGACGGAGGGGCAAGATGGGTAATGTGTCACACTGTCATATGAGCACTTTTAGTTTGTTAATGTTTTGAGATATTTTACGGAGAAATATACATCTTGCGAAAGAAACTAAATTTCACAGGTGTTAACCATGACGTGCACAGGGAAGCTTAATATAGAGTTTTGGGTACAAAGTGGACCATAGATCAGTCCATCACTGGTTCAGTGATTTTCCAAATTTCATTTACTGTATTGTAAGATTAGTGCCATTGCTGACTGGCTCTCTATAGTGCAGTGCCAACCTTAGCCACACAGTTTCCAGTTTTTGGTAGATAAACTCAAAATAAAATATCTGTTAAAATTGTTATCTTGAGAAAGCTTAAAAATGTATTTCTTTATTAGTTTGATGTAAGACATTGACAAGTGCCACAGATTAAAATAATTCCTAATAATGGTCATTGCTGTAAGTTGCTAAAGTCACGTGCATGTTGCAGATACTAGAGAAGCCCCATCTTGCCCCTGGTGGTGGGAGGAGCCTAGTTTACCTGTGGCAGAGGGGTAGTGGTGCTCAAGGCGTTTCCAGCCTCATCTTTCCCTGCACCACGAGGAGGCTGCGAGAGAACAGGTAAGCTTAGCTAGGCTGACTGACGGTCGCCTGCCAACCACTGTCCGTCAACCGAGTTATCAACAGCTATTGATCCAGGCGCCACAAGTTAGTTACCGTGTCATTCCTTTAACGTTTATTACCTGTCACATCATTCTTATACCAGATTATCACTTATTGTGCCTCTTATGACAAACCTTGAGGAAAGGTACTGTGTCAGTGTGACACACCTTGAAGGCAGGTACTGTGTCAGTGTGACACACCTTGAAGGCAGGTACTGTGTCAGTGTGACACACCTTGAAGGCAGGTACTGTGTCAGTGTGACACACCTTGAAGGCAGGTACTGTGTCAGTGTGACACACCTTGAAGGCAGGTACTGTGTCAGTGTGACACACCTTGAAGGCAGGTACTGTGTCAGTGTGACACACCTTGAAGGCAGGTACTGTGTCAGTGTGACACACCTTGAAGGCAGGTACTGTGTGTCAGTGTGAGTGTGACACCTTGAAGGCAGGTACTGTGTCAGTGTGACACGCCTTGAAGGCAGGTACTGTGAGTGTGACACCTTGAAGGCAGGTACTGTGTCAGTGTGACACCTTGAAGGCAGGTACTGTGTCAGTGTGACACCTTGAAGGCAGATACTGTGTCAGTGTGACACACCTTGAAGGCAGGTACTGTGTGTGAGTGTCAACACAAGGCAGGTACTGTACACCTTGTACTGTGTCAGTGTGACACCTTGAAGGCAGGTACTGTGTCAGTGTGACACCTTGAAGGCAGGTACTGTGTGTCAGTGTGACACCTTGAAGGCAGGTACTGTGTCAGTGTGACACCTTGAAGGCAGGTACTGTGTCAGTGTGACACCTTGAAGGCAGATACTGTGTCAGTGTGACACACTGAACCTCTTCACAGTACAGGAACAAAATATTACAGTACTGTATATAGGAGACAAAAAGATTATTACCTTCAGTATAAGATAAAGTGGATGAAAATATTAAAGTAATGACAACTTGTAACACAACTCATCATAAAGTCTGTCACCTGTTAACGTCTTGTTTAACTAACTCACACCTAAACCAACATAATGAAGATAAAACAATCTGAAATAATAGCTATCACGTGAAGTAAAGGTGTCAAGCCTGGCTGTTACACACACTGTAGTAGGTAGAGTACAGGTGTAACGTGGCACCTCAAGCAGGGCTCTCTGGTACTCAGTGCTACATCACACCTACTCACTGTACTAACACTAAAACACAACAGACCATAAATAAAACATATTTGACGATAAGAACAACGTGACTTTGTGTCGCCAGAAAGTATCAAAAATTATCAATATTTTGTGAATCTAACAGTTGAATCACCTACATCTTAATTAACAACAATAACAACTACACAATACAATAATAATAATAAATCATAAAATACATCAACTACCTAATAAATTGGTCTAAATATCTACAGTATCCTGAAGTGGTTGGGTGATGGCTGCCTTCCACTCAGACACAAGATAGATCGTGATGCTAGACTTAGTAAATGACAGAATGATTGACCAACCAACACGGAATACAAGTCTTAATAAATTAGTCGTCTGTGGTGTTATTATCTGGTACCGGGGGTCGAACCCAGGACCTATCAGCTGAGGATGCCGAGTTACCCCTTTACCATAATGTATGTGTGTGTGTGTGTGTGTGTGGAGAAGTGGGGGAGATGGGGGGGACAATACTCTTAAATCTACGACCCCAAACCCGGCACCGAGTGTTAGGTTGGGTTGGGTTGGGTCGGGTTAGGTCAGGGAAAAGATGTGTTCAATTAGGTTAGGTTAAGTTAGGTTAGGGATATATTACCTGAAGTTTGGTTAAGTTAGGGATGAATTAGGTTAGATTAGATTAGATTACTTTAGTCTAGTTTTTGCTAAGTTAGGTTTAGTTACGTTAGGTTAGTTTATTAGGTAAATTCATGTTAGGTTAGACGAGGTTAAGTTAGGTTTGTTTTTGTTAGGTTCGATTAGGTTAAGAGAGAAGCGGTTAGGTTAGGTTAACTAATAAAAGTTTTAAGTTAAGTTGGTTGAGTCTCTGTTAAGACATGGTAGGTTAAATCAGAATAGGCTCCAGGTCCGGGTCCAGATTTAGTGTGAAGAATGTCGAGGGCAGTGAGACATCCAACACATAAGGTACTTTTTTTTATTGCTCAGAGACGAAACATCACTGAGACATCCAACTCATAAGGTAAATGAGAACACTGTAAACTTTGAACACCTCAACACAGAATAGTGTATGGCTGGTACCTCTGGCATGGCAATAATTATCTTTCCTTCTCCTTGTACATCTCTCTCGCTCTTTGTATCTCTCTCTTAAATTAGTGATTCGTCAACTATTCTGATTTCTGATATATTAAAAAAATTCCTCGATTTCGATAACATTTTGAACCAATGGCAAGAATAGCTTAACGCGGCCCACCAATAGGAGACAATGTTTACCAAATCAACACAATAGCTTTTACCCCCATCAAGGGATACTGACCTAAAATAAATCTTTATGTTAAAATTACCAACATAGGAGGAATTAATTGCAATATTGACTTCAAATTCTTAAAAAAATACGAAAAATTAATTATCCTCGTAGATGGGTATAATGTAATTAATTAATTTAGACTAAAAATATTATCCCTAGAATTCCATAGATAATTTTAACTCTTCGATAACGTACTCTTGATGCCATTATGGAGATGAATTTAACTGAACGAAACTTAAAGGAGATTGATTTCTTTACTTTGTTTCGTCTTAAGTGAACGTATAGGTTAGCAGTGTCACTTGTCTATAGTTGTTGAACTTTGAGTGTTGGTAGATCTTAAGTTCAGAGGAATAATATATATATATATATTTTTTATAAGAATTTGGGACCTTGGTGGGGGGGGAGGGGTGGTGGGGGGTGGTGGGGGGGTGGGGGAAGACGTGATTATTGAGAAGAGAAGAGGAGGAGGAGAAGAATAGGAGAACGAGGAGAAGGAGGATGAAGAGGAAGAGGAAGAAAAAGAAGAAAAAAGAAGAATGAAAACTTCCATAAATTACCATGAGCAATCACAATAATAAATAACTTTAAAACCATCACCGCCAAGACATGTTATCACAAACACATAAAAAACAACAACAACAACAACAACAAACTCACCAAGAACATTAAAACTAAGTATAAGATGAATAACATTGTAACGTACTACAATGAATGACTCGCTATCAATCACCATGTATAAATATATCGGTGTATAAAAGAACTGAAGTTATCCTGTTATCTTCACCAACTCCTTGATAACTCAGTGAGAACAAGAGTGAATCTACAGTACCTAACACAGTATAAACCAATGAACAACAAGGGGGTCGGATTCGGGAGGGGGGTCGGATTCGGGAGAGGGGTCGGATTCGGGAGAGGGGTCGGAGAATCGGAGAGGCGGAGGAGGGGTCGGATTCGGGAGAGGGTCGGGGAGAGGGTCGGATTCGGGAGAGGGGTCGGATTCGGGAGAGGGGTCGGATTCGGGAGAGGGGGTCGGATTCGGGAGAGGGGGTCGGATTCGGGAATGGAGGGGAGTCTACTAAACACAGCACACTGATATACAACCAATTACAACCACATTTATTGTTCGAAATTTGGTTTATATTAAAAAACAACAAAATATTGGATTAGGGAGAAAGAGAGAGAGTGTATGGTCAGTTAGTCACCATACCTTGTTGTATTTGTATTGGCCAACTGGCTTGTGGTCTTTGCGTAATATTCCGGTGTCGTTGAACTCTTGGATATTGATGACGTCATATTCGGCGTTGATGCGGTCACCGTTCTCATCAAAGGCGACCTTACCCGTGTGACCATTCTTGAGGACCTGTTCTAGGATGTATCTGGAACACGAGGTCAATAATATGTCCTTGTTAGATCTGTGCTACAAGATGACCTGACCTAACCTGACCTAACACGAGGTCAATAATATGTCCTTGTTAGATCTGTGCTACAAGATGACCTGACCTGACCTGACCTGACCTAACACGAGGTCAATAATATGTCCTTGTTAGATCTGTGCTACAAGATGACCTGACCTGACCTGACCTAACACGAGGTCAATAATATGTCCTTGTTAGATGTGTGCTACAAGATGACCTAAACTAACCTGACCTGACCTAACGTAAATACACTGACCTAGCCAAACCTAACCTACCATAACATTACCACCTCACCATGCCTAACCTAACCTAACCTAACCTTGTCTGATCTAAACTAAACTTACCCACCTAACCAAACCTAACCTCGACATGGATAGTAACTTAGTACGACAGGTGTGGAGAAAGATAGTTACATGACAGGTGTGTGTGGGGGAGAAGCTGCAAGACAGGTGTAGGAAGGAGAGAGAGGTGTGTAGGTGTGTAACAGGTGTAGGAAGGAGCGAGAGGGGGTGTAGGTTTGTAATAGGTGTGGGAAAGGAGATACAGGTGTGTAACAGGTGTGGAAAAGGTATATACTCACTGAAAGAGTTTCTTGCCCGTCTCCCAAGATGCACCAGTGTTATTACAATCTTGGGGCGGTGGTTCTGTCGTATTTTGCTCTTCACGTAGTTTCTTGAGGGCTTTAGCCAAGATGTACCTGTGTAAACCGTAATTAAGTTTCATATACCTGTGTAAACCGTAATTAAGTTTCATATACCTGTGTAAACCGTAATTAAGTTTCATATACCAGTGTAAACCGTAATTAAGTTTCATATACCTGTGTAAACCGTAATTAAGTTTCATATACCCGTGTAAACCCTAATTATGAGTTTACTGCCTTATAATATACCCGTGTAAACCCTAATTATGTTTCATACACCTGTTTAGACCCTAAGTAAGAGTTACCAACCCCACAATGTTAAATGGACTCACAGGTGGGCCATAGCACCACAGGCGGGCCATAACACCACAGGCGGGCCATAACACCACAGGCGGGCCATAACACCACAGGCGGGCCATAGCACCACAGGTGGGCCATAGCACCACAGGTGGGCCATAGCACCACAGGCGGGCCATAACACCAGGCGGGCCATAGCACCACAGGCGGGCCATAGCACCACAGGTAACACCACAGGCGGGCCATAGCACCACAGGTGGGGCCATAACACCACAGGCGGGCCATAACACCACAGGCCATAACACACAGGGCCATAACACCACAGGCGGGCCATAGCACCACAGGCGGGCCATAGCACCACAGGCGGGCCATAACACCACAGGCGGGCCATAGCACCACAGGCGGGCCATAGCACCACAGGCGGGCCATAACACCACAGGCGGGCCATAACACCAAAGGAGAGCCATAATCACACAGGGTCATAACATCACACGGCCATAACACCATAAGACCACAGGACCATAAGACCACAAGACCACAGGACCATAACATAACAGGCAATACTCACAGACTGTCGGTGATGTGGGCTACCTCATCAGATGCGTTGACTAGCTTGAGGCCGATGGTCCCGGCTGGTACGTGTTCAGCGTTGAGGGCCTGTTCAGTCACTACCCAGACGTAACCCCGGCCTGTCATGTTCATGTAACTGGCGTCATGAAAGATTGTGCCAGCGTCCTCTTTACTGGTGAAATAACAGTCGTTGAGAACTAAGGAACAATAACGGTGGTTTAGAACTAACTTTTGAACAATAACGGTGGTTTAGAACTAACTTTTGAACAATAACGGTGGTTTAGAACTAACTTTTGGACAATAACAGTGGTTTAGAACTAACTTTTGGACAATAACAGTGGTTTAGAACTAACTTTTGGACAATAACAGTGGTTTAGAACTAACTTTTGGACAATAACAGTGGTTTAGAACTAACTTTTGGACAATAACAGTGGTTCAGAACTAACAACAATAACAAAAGTGGTTTAAAACTAACATAACAATAACATTCATAACTAACCACTCTCCCACCACAACTCACAAAGACAAAACAAGACGCACAGACAAACTTAACAAAAACATCAACAAATAAAAACTTGCATAGAAACTTACTTAGCATAGAGAAGGATGACTCTTGCAGACGCTTCCCTAATTTCTTTCAGTTTATCCACAAAGGAGTTTAATCCTGGTTCAAACTCAATTACGTTCTCCATCTGCAACATCAGGTTAGGTTAGATTAGGTTAGTTTAGGTAAAATTTGGTTGGGTTGGATTAGGTACAGTGAATTTAGGTTAGGTTATGTAAACTTGGGTTAAATGCTTATTAAGTTTGGGTTAAATTAAGTGAAGTTACGTTAAATTAAGTGATGAAAAGTTAGATTAAATGTTTTGGCATCATCCCAGTGACTCAATATCATCCCAGTGACTCACCTTAATGTCCTTATCATCCTCGTGACTCTGGGCTTGGTTCTGGAAGCGAGTGAGGAGGGCTCGGCCGTCTGTGTCGGAGGAATGAACGAAGACCACCTGAGTGTACTGGAAACTTTTGAGGAGGTCCACCCACACGTCGGCCTGGTGACTGTAGGGAGGCACTGTCCTCAGGAACGAGACGTGGATGTTCTGTCGAGGTGAACGATGGTATTAGACTTAGTTATGGCAGGTGGTAGGAAAGTGTCAAGACAGTAAGTGCAAGAGGAAAGTGCCATGACAACAAGTGTAAGTGATGACTGAAAAGTGTTTAGATAAGAAGATAGGAAACTGCTAAGACAATAAGTTAACAGGAAAGTACTAGACGCATTAATGTTCTGTAGTGTTCATGTTATTATTCTTGTTTGTTAATTGATTGAAAAAATTTATTTAATCTGAAAAAAATCCTGATAGAGAGTGAACAGCAAAAACAGTATTGACATGGTTAAGATAGGTTAGGTTAAGCTAGTCTAGGTTAGGTTAAACTAATCTCGGTTAGGTTAAACTAATCTAGGTTAGGTTAATCTAATCTAGGTTAGGATAAACTAATCTAGGTTAGGTTAAATTAGGTTAGGGTAAGCTAGTCTAGGTTAGATCTAGATAGGTTAGGTTAAGTTAGGTTAGGTTAAATCAGTCGTATATAGTTTAACATTATCTTCAACGCACCTTGTCGGAGAAGGCAGAGTCCCTGGAGGAGATGCCGATGACGGGGATATGGTAGAAGCCACTGGTGTAGGAGACCGCGGCAGGAGACAGGTCGCCATTCAAGGGGTGTGAGACGATGACGGCGTACACCTGCCCATACCAGACCAGGTGAGTGTACTGTATGTCTCTCGAGGAGTTGATAGGTCATACTTGAATCTCAATAGTGGTCACCCTCCAACCTCAATGTCACTCTTGAACCTCAATATGTCGCCCTCGAACCTCAATGTCACCCTCGACCTTCAATATGTCATTCTCGAACCTCAACTTGTCATTCTCGAACCCTTATATGTCACCCTCGTACCTTTATAGTATATCACCCTTGAAACTACAATATGTCACCCTCGAACATATCAAAACTTCAATCTTCAAACCTGTCATTAACAAAAGCTAATTAATAAATCTGACATAATGATCTGATCTACAAGAGTGAGTGAGTGAGTCAGTCAGTCAGTCAGTGAGTGAGCATAAACTGACAATGATCTGATCTACAAGAGTGAGTGAGTGAGTGAGCGAGCCGACTTACCGACTGGGAGACGAGTTGCTTGCACACCTCAAGAGCGGTGCGGATAGGGTTGGAGTCCATCAACATGGTGACGTCCTTTAGGTTGGTGTCCACATCGACGTACGTCCTGTTGGTGTTTATGTGCTGCTGGCAACAAACAATGACATCAGTTGACACGTTTACCTGTAGTGGCTTGTTACACACGCTAACACACACTAACACACGCTAAGGCACTCTAACGCACTCTTAATACACGCTAAGGCTCTCTAACGCACTCTTTAATACACGCTAACACACACTAACACACGCTAAGGCTCTTTAACGCAGTCTAACGCATTCTTAATACACACTAAGGCACTCTAACGCACTCTTAATACACGCTAAGGCTCTCTAACGCACTTTTAATACACGCTAAGGCACTCTTAATACACGCTAAGGCTCTCTAACGCAGTCTAACGCATTCTTAATACACGCTAAGGCACTCTAACGCACTCTTAATACACGCTAAGGCACTCTTAATACACGCTAAGGCTCTCTAACGCACGCTAATGCACTAGCGCACTCCAATACACTCTAACATTCTCTAAACTAGCCTAACGCACTCTAGCTCACTTTAAACACGCTTACACCGTCTAACACAAGGTAATGCAATCTAATACAGTCTAACATACGCTAACACAGTCTAACGCACTCTAACATACATACTAACATACATACACACACACACACGCACACACACACACGTACCAACTGTTGTGCGAATCGTTAATTATAACTCATAATACATACTCGAGTTTGAGTCTATTTTGAGTACTAATAAGTCTGTTTATCCGTGTGTCTTGCCTGTCTGTCTCTCTGTCTCTCCTTTCTCTCTCTTTTTCTTTGTCTGTCTGTGTCTGTCTCTGTATTTCTTTTGTCTCTTTGTCTCTCTCTCTCTCTCTCTCTCTTTGTCTGTCTGTCTGTCTGTGTTTGAGTCTCTCTTTCTGTGTGTGTGTGTGTGTGTGTGTGTCTCTCTCACAATTTCCTTGTCTGTGTTTCAGTCTTGTAATATCTCTCTCTCTCTCTCTCTCTCTCTCATACTCTACTTACCGATATGGTTAGCTTGAAGTGAGCGTCAGACTTCATATCAGAGAGAATACCACCTATGTTAAAGATCTGAGCTGATGTACTGGAGGTTGCGTCCAGCTCCGTCGAACACAGACCCGGGCTTAACACCCAGCCAAGTGTGGCCACCACCAACACGAGTGCCCCCACCTCGTCACCCATCACCTCATGCTTCCTGTAATGGTGTATGGATTACTGTATCATGTCATCCACCACCCTATGCTTCCTGTAGTAATGCCTGTATCATGTCACCCACCACCCTATGATTCCTGTAGTAATGCCTGTATCATGTCATCCACCACCCTATGCTTCCTGTAGTAATGCCTGTATCATGTCACCCACCACCCTATGATTCCTGTAGTAATGCCTGTATCATGTCAGCCATCACCCTATGCTTCCTGTAGTAATGCCTGTATCATGTCACCCATCACCTCATGCTTCCTGTAATGGTGTATGGATTCCTGTAGTAATGCCTGTATCATGTCACCCATCACCCTATGCTTCCTGTAGTAATGCCTGTATCATGTCAGCCATCACCCTACGCTTCCTTTAACATTGTATTGTTTACTGTATTATCTGTAGTATTGTTTGGTAGATTTTGCCAAGACTTTTGACAGCGTACCCCCACGAAAGGCTGAGAATTAAACTGGTAGGGTACGGGTTTCGGGAAAGTGTCCAAGTGTGGATCGGAGATTTTCTGCATGACCGCAAACAGTGTCTAGTGATTAATGGAAGAGAAAATGTCTGCTACGATTCAATGTCACGAAGTGCAAAAGGATGCACCTGGGGCGCACCAATAGTAAGGAGGCGTATCACATGTCCCAACAGGACGAAGAAACTGCATTAATTTAGATCAAATGTGAAAAAGACCTGGGTGTGTATGTTGACAATGAACTTAATTTCTCGGGCCATTGTGAGAAGATGATGAATCAGGCAACGAAACTAGTAGGTCACATAAGAGTAATTTATATATCTGGATGGTCCGTCGCTCGTCACGATCTTCAAGAGAGTGAAGTGCTTCCCCGTCTGAAGTATTGTCACCCCATCTGGTCCCCGAGGTATGCTAGAGACTGCCAATTGATTGAAAATGTACAAGGGAGGGCCACCATACTAGTGCCTGCTCTACAGAACCTCAGTTACCCAGAAAGATTGGAGCTCCTGCAACTACCTAGCTTATACTACTGACGGGCAAGGGGTGACCTAATCGAAATGTATAAACATCTCAGGGACACTACTCGGTCGAATGTACAAACCTGGAGCTGGCGGACATCCGCCCCACAAGGGGTCACAGCTCAAGGTTGAAGAAGCCACAAGTCCAGAAAACTGGACTTGCTAAAGAGCGTTGTGACGGCACCGAGTGTGAGCTCATTCAAGGCCAGACATGAAAAGCACTGGAGCAGGTTCCGATATATTCAGGAGCCAGTTCATGTCCAGTATCTGCCAACAGTGCGTATCAGAGACGTGACCGACCGCCCAAGCGGCTAACGAGCCGATCAATGGTGAAGAGGATAAAGTAAAAAGAAAAGTATCACGTCAGCCATCACCCCCATGCTTCCTGTACCAGTGTATGTGTTACTGTAACCCCTGTATCTCACCACCCTATCCCACCTTCGAATACAACAACTTAAAACCTTTGATTACCATATCTTCAATGAGTACAATGAATTAAGATTGTACTCAAGAGGCTTACTTATCGTACTCAAGGAAGTTTTTCATAGATGTATTAAAACGACATAAATCATACATTAAGACACCGTCATACATCGAATTATTCATTTATTCATGGCTTACAACTTTGTATGTATACACACACAAAATAAACGCAGAGTGTCTCAAAAAATGTACACACACTGCCTTATAGGTTTCCGTGTCGATCATGTGTAGGTTTGTACACATTTTTCTGAGACACCACGTTTATTGTTTGCTAGTCATCTTGATTCTCCAAACAAACAACAAAGATCCAATGTTTGTTATATAAGGAATGTTTGTGTTAATAATTTTGGATGGTCTGTGTATGAGGATAATGCCAATACACCTGCTTACACCTGTCCACACCTGCCTACATCGGTCCACTCCTGCCTACACCTGCTTACACCTGGCCACACCTGCCTACACCTGTCCACTCCTGCCTGCGCCGGTCCACTCCTGCCTGCACCGGTCCACAACTGCCCACGACACAGGTGAATCTCAAACGGCCCTTTGTTAACATCCATTGTTTATCAAGACGAATCCTTTCATTATTGTCTATTTCACATGACCACAATTTCTAAAGAGGTTAAATTAGGCTAAATTAGGATAGGTTAATTTATACTAGGTTAGGTCAAGTTAAGTTAGGTTAGGTTAGGATAGGTTAAGTTAGATTAGGTTTTCTTTGTGTTATATTAAGTTATGTAAGGTTAAGTTGGGTTAGTTTAAACTATTCTCCCCCTTCTGTTTCAACCAACTCTGTTTCCCCCACCCCTCTGTTTCCCCCACCCCTCTGTTTTCCCCACCCCTCTGTTTCACCCCCTCAGTTTTTCTCGGGAAAGTTGAGGAGAGAGAGAGAGAGAGAGAGAAAAAGAGACAGGGCACAGTGGGGTGACGCCTCAACCTGGCGGAGATAAGGAGTGGAGTTCTCCCGACACAGCCTCCGGATGGGGGTGGGGTGGGTGATAAGGCAAGTGTGTGTGTGTAAGAGAGAGAGAGAGAGAGAGAGAGAGAGAGAGAGATATGGTTAGGTTAGCATAGGTTAGGTCAAATTGAGTTAAGTTTGGTTAAATTAGGTTAGAGTTAGGACGTTTAGTCATTACATACAATAAGTTGATGTACCTAATCGTCACGTGATATTAATATACTAATTCCCAGATAACATTCGGTAATATAAGTGTACCGAGTATACATTGTACCCACCAGGTGTACTCAAAGGACAGGACTGCACTCTGGTCAAGGTGTAGCGCAGAATGAATGGGGCAACACACGGACAGGTAGGGCTATGGAACAACCTACCAGCATAATTGACTAATATTAGGTAAATTAGTTAGGTTAATTAGTTATAGATTATCTAATTAAGGTAACTTATCATCTACCTGGTGGTGATTTATTCTTATACCTTAATGTACTTGTCTCACGCACACACACACACACACACACGCGCGCGCACACACAAGGGGTAGTGGGAGACAGTGACTCCTTTTATGTAAACAAACACTCACACTTGGCGCCTTTTCCCTCTCACTGTATCGTCGCCAACTGTACCTTCCTACCTCACCTCTACTCTCTTGCCTCGCCTCACCGCCCCTCCCTTCGCCTCACCTCACCCCCCCGTCTCTCCTTGCCTCACTTCACCACACCTCGCCCCTCTAACTGGTGAAAACCTAAACTAACCTAATAGTGGGTGGTGGTGATTGTGGTGGTGGTGATTGTGGTGGTGCATGTGGTGGTGGTGGTGATTGTGGTGGTAGTAGTGGTGATTGTGGTGGTGGTGATTGTGGTGTGGTGTAGTGGTGGTGTGGTGATTGTGGTGGTAGTGGTGATGGTGGTGGTGATTGTGGTGTGGTGGTGTGGTGGTAGTGGTGATGGTGGTGGTGATTGTAGTGGTAGTGGTGATTGTGGTGGTAGTGGTGATTGTGGTGGTAGTGGTGATTGTGGTGGTAGTGGTGATTGTGGTGGAAGTGGTGATTGTGGTGATTGTGGTGAAGTGGTGATTGTGGTGGTGATTGTAATGCTGGTGATTGTGGTGGCGGTGATTGTGTGGTGATTGTGGTGGTGGTAGTGGTGGTAGTGGTGATTGTGGTGGTGGTAGTGGTGATTGTGGTGGTTGGTGGTGGTGGTGACACATCCAGCACCACCACTCCTCCACGTCCTGTCCACACTCTCTGTCTCTTTCTTTCATTATAAAACAGTTATCTCTCCCTCACCACACCTCCCCCACCCTCCTACCTGTCTCCTATCTTCCTTACTGATATACCACCACTACCACCCCCACCACCCACCACTACCACCACCCCACTACCACACTACTACCACCACCACTACCACCACCAATCACTACCACCACCACACTACTACTACTACCACTACTACCACCACTATTTACAATCACTACCACCACTACACTACCACCCCCACTACTACCACACCCACCACCCATTACCAATCACTACCAATCACTACTACTACACTACCCCCACCACTACTACCACCACTACCACACTTACAATCACTACCCCCACTACTACCCACCACCCCCACTACCACCACACCACTACCACTACTACCACTATTACCACTTACCAACCACTACCACAATCACTACTTCCCCACCACCACTACCCCCCACCACTACCACCCACCACTACTACCACCACTAATTACTACAATCACTACCACCATTACCACCATTACCACCCCTATTACCTTTAATTATTACGACTAAATTTTCACTACCACCCCACCATTACCACCACCATTACCACCATTACCACCCCTATTACCTTTAATTATTACGACTAAATTTTGGCATAATTACTACTGTTAGAAAGAGCTCTCTCTCTCTCCCTCTCTCCTCCTTTCTTTCTTATTCTTTCTCTTTCTCTTATTATTATTATTATTATTATCATCATCTTGTCATTCTATTATAATTATCATGACGAGTATCGCTAAAAATAATTATTTCTATCATTATTATAATTTTACTTACTATCATTATTATCAATAGTGTCATTGTCATTAAATATTTCATCATTATCATCATTATTATCAATAGTGTCAAGTCATTATATATTTCATCATTATCATCATTATCATCATTAGAGTCCTCGTCATTATATATTTCATCAATATTATCATTAGTGTCAAGTCATTATATATTTCATCATTCTCATCATTATTACATATTATTATTTTCTTTATTCGAGCAAGGTGTGACGTCACCATCCCATCTTCCACCAATAGGTCAGGATTCACGAACCTAACCTTCAGGAACACCTAACCTAACCTTCAGGAACACCTAACCTAACCTTCAGGAACACCTAACCTAACCATCAGGAACACCTAACCTAACCTTCAGGAACACCTAACCTAACCTAACCTTCAGGAACACCTAACCTAACCTTCAGGAACACCTAACCTAACCTTCAGGAACACCTAACCTAACCTTCAGGAACACCTAACCTAACCTTCAGGAACACCTAACCTAACCTTCAGGAACACCTAACCTAACCTTCAGGAACACCTAAGGAACACCTAACCTAGCCTTCAGGAACACCTAACCTAACCTTCAGGAACACCTAACCTAACCTTCAGGAACACCTAACCCTAACCTTCAGGAACACCTAACCTAACCTTCAGGAACACCAACTAACCTTCAGGAACACCTAACCTTCAGGAACACCTAACCTAACCTTCAGGAACACCCACCTAACCTTCAGGGAACACCTAACCTAACCTTCAGGAACACCTAACCAACCCTTCAGGAACACCTAACCTAACCTTCAGGAACACCAACCAACCTTCAGGAACACCTAACCTAACCTTCAGGAACACTAACCTAACCTTCAGGAACACCTAACCTAACCTTCAGGGAACACCTAACACCTAACCCAACCTTCAGGAACACCTAACCTAACCTTCAGGAACACCTAACCTAACCTTCAGGAACACCTAACCTAACCTTCAGGAACACCTAACCTAACCTTCAGGAACACCTAACCTAACCTTCAGGAACACCTAACCTAACCTTCAGGAACACCTAACCTAACCTTCAGGAACACCTAACCTAACCTTCAGGAACACCTAACCTAGCCTTCAGGAACACCTAACCTAACCTTCAGGAACACCTAACCTAACCTTCAGGAACACCTAACCTAACCTTCAGGAACACCTAACCTAACCTTCAGGAACACCTAACCTAACCAATTAAACAGACGCCATCATAACACCACCTTGACCATCACCTCTTAACACCTTAATTAACCAGGTAACTAACATCAGATCACCTGTTTAAGTGAGAACTCTCTTAAGTGACAGTTGTTGGGGAGAAAAAGTGACAGTTCCTGGTGGCTGTCAGTTGGTGTCTGGCGCCGCTGACAGACTTTGATTATTTTCACCAGGTGTGTTGGAGATGGCCGGGCTACCTACCCACCCACCCAAGATTGATTTTAGAATGTAGAAAATTATTTTCCTTTGCGTCACATAAACTAAATATTACATGATTGAAATATTATAATAAATGTTGATAATAATGTACGTAAGAATGATGATGTTAGTGATAATGAAGATAATAAGAAATAAGAGTTTGGAAGAAATGTTATGATCGATGTTAAAAAAAAGGAAATTTTTTGTTTTGGTTTTCATGTTAAATTTAACTTAATTTTAACCATAATGTCCACCTTCCTAGTGACCACCCTCCTACAGTGACCACCCTCCTACAGTGACCACCCTCCTACAGTGACCACCCTCCTACAGTGACCACCCTCCTGCAGTGACCACCCTCCTGCAGTGACCACCCTCCTGCAGTGACCACCTTCCTACAATTACCAGGTAATGGTCCATTTTGGTTTATTTAGCTCAACAATTTAACTTCATTTAGATTAATTAGTTAAATTTCTTGATTACTTAGCTTTTCACATTAATATTGCTTATTTTTATTTAATTCATCTTATTTAACACGTCTTTCTTTCAACCAATGAGCTGCGCTGTTGAGATTGTTTAAATTGGGAAGTTAGAAGTTAGAGTATTATTAACCAACGCTGTCGAGAATCTTCCTGTTGCTAGCGAAGAATCTAATAGCTCATTCATTAATGCTTATTTTTAGGTCTTTTCAATTATTTTTATATAGCTTTTGTTTAATGTAATTTAACATTTATTTGTTGATTTAGTCTTTTTGTGTTTCAAATTTGCTTTCATTTGCACCAATTTAACTTATTTACACCATTTTAGCTTTTATTTACATCATTTTAGCTTTTATTTACATCAATTTAATGTTTCTTTCTTTAAGTTTACTTTTACATAAACCAAGAAGATATTAAGCTGTCTCTTTTTTAACTCAAGCTGAAAATATTAACCTAACCATTAACTTTACTCCTAATAGAACTAAAAGACAGAGACAACAGAGCCCAGACTGAGAGACAACAGAGCCCAGACTGAGAGACAACAGAGCCTAGACTGAGAGACAACAGAGCCCAGACTGAGAGACAACAGAGCCCAGACTGAGAGACAACAGAGCCCAGACTGAGAGACAACAGAGCCCAGACTGAGAGACAACAGACCCAGACTGAGAGACAACAGAGCCCAGACTGAGAGACAACAGAGCCCAGACTGAGAGACAACAGAGCCCAGACTGAGAGACAACAGAGCCAGACTGAGAACAGAGCCAGAGACTGAGACAACAGAGCCCAGACTGAGAGACAACAGAGCCCAGACTGAGAGACAACAGAGCCCAGACTGAGACAACAGAGCCCAGACTGAGAGACAACAGAGCCCAGACTGAGAGACAACAGAGCCCAGACTGAGAGACAACAGAGCCTAGACTGAGAGACACAGAGCCCAGAAGACTGAGACAACAGAGCCCAGACTGAGAGACAACAGAGCCCAGACTGAGAGACAACAGAGCCCAGACTGAGAGACAACAGAGCCCAGACTGAGACAACAGAGCCCAGAAGAGAGACAACAGAGCCCAGACTGAGAGACAACAGAGCCCAGACTGAGACAACAGAGCCCAGACTGAGAGACAACAGAGCCTAGACTGAGAGACAATAGAGCCCAGAAGACTGAGACAACAGAGCCCAGACTGAGACAACAGAGCCCAGACTGAGAGACAACAGAGCCCAGACTGAGAGACAACAGAGCCCAGACTGAGAGACAACAGAGCCCAGACTGAGAGACAACAGAGCCCAGACTGAGACAACAGAGCCTAGACTGAGAGACAGAGCCCAGACTGAGAGACAACAGAGCCCAGACTGAGAGACAACAGAGCCCAGACTGAGAGACAACAGAGCTAGACTGAGAGACAAGAGCCCAGAAGACTGAGACAACAGAGCTGACTGAGAGACAACAGAGCCCAGACTGAGAACAACAGAGCCCAGACTGAGACAACAGAGCCCAGACTGAGACAACAGAGCCCAGACTGAGACAACAGAGCCTAGACTGAGAGACAATAGAGCCCAGAAGACTGAGACAACAGAGCCCAGACTGAGAGACAACAGAGCCCAGACTGAGAGACAACAGAGCCCAGACTGAGAGACACAGAGCCCAGACTGAGAGACAACAGAGCCTAGACTGAGAGACAATAGAGCCCAGAAGACTGAGACAACAGAGCCCAGACTGAGAGACAACAGAGCCCAGACTGAGAGACAACAGAGCCCAGACTGAGAGACAACAGAGCCCAGACTGAGACAACAGAGCCCAGACGAGAGACAACAGAGCCCAGACTAGAGAGACAACAGAGCCTAGACTGAGAGAAAAGAGCCCAGAAGACTGAGACAACAGAGCCCAGACTGAGAGACAACAGAGCCCAGACTGAGAGACAACAGAGCCCAGACTGAGAGACAACAGAGCCCAGACTGAGAGACAACAGAGCCCAGACTGAGAGACAACAGAGCCTAGACTGAGAGACAATAGAGCCCAGAAGACTGAGACAACAGAGCCCAGACTGAGAGACAACAGAGCCCAGACTGAGAGACAACAGAGCCCAGACTGAGAGACAACAGAGCCCAGACTGAGAGACAACAGAGCCCAGACTGAGACAACAGAGCCCAGACTGAGAGACACAGAGCCAGACTGAGACAACAGAGCCTAGACTGAGAGACAACAGAGCCCAGACTGAGAGACACAGGCCCAGACTGAGACAACAGAGCCCAGACTGAGACAACAGAGCCCAGACTGAGACAACGAGCCAGACTGAGAGACAATAGAGCCCAGAAGACTGAGACAACAGAGCCTGACTGAGAGACAACAGAGCCCAGACTGAGACAACAGAGCCCAGACTGAGACAACAGAGCCTGACTGAGAGACAATAGAGCCGAGACTGAGACAACAAGCGACGAGACAACAGAGCCCAGACTGAGAGACAACAGAGCCAGACTGAGAGACAACAGAGCCAGACTGAGACAACAGCCAGACTGAGACAACAGAGCCCAGACTGAGACAACAGAGCCCAGACTGAGACAACAGAGCCTAGACTGAGAGACAATAGAGCCCAGAAGACTGAGACAACAGAGCCTGACTGAGAGACAACAGAGCCTGGACTGAGAGACAACAGAGCCTAGACTGAGAGACAACAGAGCCCAGACTGAGAGACAACAGAGCCTAGACTGAGAGACAACAGAGCCCAGAAGACTGAGACAACAGAGCCTGGACTGAGAGACAACAGAGCCTAGATTGAGAGACAACAGAGCCTAGATTGAGAAACAACAGAGCCCAGACTGAGAGACAACAGAGCCAGAAGACTGAGACAACAGAGCCCAGACTGAGAGACACAGAGCCTAGATTGAACAACAGAGCCCAGACTGAGAGACAACAGAGCCTGGACTGAGAGACAACAGAGCCTGACTGAGACAACAGAGCCCAGACTGAGAGACAACAGAGCCCAGACTGAGAGACAACAGAGCCTAGAGATGGTACAGAACGCAGACATCATAACACATACCTTCAGCAGACTGGAAATGGGTAGTAGACTGGGCAGTGGTTGGCGACCCTTGAGCGACGAGGTCAGTGATAGATGAAGCAGAACAGTAGGAGCAGAAGCAGTAGAGGTAGCAGCGGCAGTGGCAGCAGCAGCAGCGGCGGCGGCGGCAGCAGCAGCGGCAGCAGCAGCGGCAGCAGGCAGCAGCAGCAGCAGCACTGTGGCGGAGGACCCGTCAAGTCCAGACATCCGCTCACGGGTCAGTACTGGCTGGAGTGCCTCGCTGTCCTGCGCTCCCACAATCTTTGCTCTGCTGGCTCCTGTACTCGTCAGACCAGTGGCAAGTCCGCTTTAGTGGCGCTTGATGATCGACAAGTCCACTTTAGTGGCTCTTGAAGATCAACAAGTCCGCTTTAGTGGCGCTTGATGATCGACAAGTCCACTTTAGTGGCTCTTGAAGATCAACAAGTCCGCTTTAGTGGCGCTTGAAGATCGACAAGTCCACTTTAGTGGCTCTTGAAGATCAACAAGTCCGCTTTAGTGGCTCTTGAAGATCGACAAGTCCACTTTAGTGGCTCTTGAAGATCGACAAGTCCGCTTTAGTGGCGCTTGAAGATCGACAAGTCCGCTTTAGTGGCTCTTGAGGTTCGACAAGTCCGCTTTAGTGGCTCTTGAGGTTCGACAAGTCCGCTCTAGTGGCTCTTGAGGTTCGACAAGTCCGCTCCGGGGTCTCCTGTACTCGACAAGTTCTTTCCTGTGGCTCCTGAGGACGAGTTTTTAGTTTTGTCACCTCCTGGGGTCGAGTTAGTAGGTTGCGGCGGCTTCTGTGGTCGACAGATTCGCTGTAGCTTTTCCTGGATTCGACAGAACTACTCTTAGTGGCGGGCGATGGTGTGGTCTTGGCGGCCCTCAAACACTTCCTTACAAATCGCTTAGAAAGATAAAACTCTCGACTTAAAAAACACTTGGTGATTTTCTTTTATTTTAACTTTAAAATACGAGAGAAAAACCGTTGTCATCTGGGCCACGTAGGCACAAAAACTAGGCTACATAAGCAAACAGTTTATACATAGGTAAGTCACTGGGTAACGGAGATGTATTTTAATAAACAAAGTAAAGAAGAAACGTAACTTGGCGCGGCGCAGAAGAGAGCGCCGCTAAGTGTGGTCCGCAGCGAGGTGGCGCCGGGAGGGAGAGAACAGAGGGGGATGGAGCGTAGGAGTTAACGTGCGGATAGCGTTCCCGGGAGGCGGCATGCCAGTGTTTCACAGCCTGGCCATCCACACGTCTGCAACACTCGAGCCTCCTCCAACAAACACTGCGCCAACACACACTGCTGCTCACAGTCCTCGCCAGGGGCATGCCAGACTACCCAGAGGGCCCGGCGCACCAGGGAGGTCGGCGGCGGCGGGTACTGGTGACGACGAACGACTGACGGTGGCGGCGACAGAGGGAGGTGACCACCACCGCTGCCACACTCCTTGCACAGGCACCTCACGCCCCGCCCAGCTCCTCCTGTAGATACACACAACAGCACATCAGTACACAAAGTAAACGAACATATATATACAACATTAACAGGTACAGATAAAAATGAGATTTGTCATCCCAGCTTGTTTTACCTGATTATTGACACCGTAATGTTACCTGGAGGTTAGGTTAGGTTAATTTGTCTTAGGATATAGGTTAAGCTAGGTTAGGTTAAGGTGTTTAATCATCAGGTGAAATAAGCTAGGCCGGCTAATCTTCACGTGATCCGATGGAGTTGCATTAGAAATTTCACTCGCATACAAACATATTATTATAAAGTATTTTACGTTTATAATAAAAGATGACAACTGCAAATGATTTTAAGTCTTTAAGGACAATGGTTTAATGATGATGATATTCTAAAAGAAAAAGATCACAAAAACCAATTTCATCATTTATTGGTTCACATTCTCTCCCTCACACATTCTCCCCTGAAAAAATATTCTTAAGTCATTAGGCTGAGTTACAGCCTTGTCGGTCCCAAATAAGATTTTGTTGAAAATCTCAGCATAGGTGCTGCTGACCATGATGATTCCGAATCTATGGTCCATGATTCGATTGTGGAGTAATTAGTGGTCGTAATGATGCTTGAAAGATTTTAATTACATTTTTCAACGCTAATTACTCGCCAACTATGGGTTTCCGAGGTGCGATTTTGTTGTTATTCTTTAAGTACTCAATTAGTCAAAGCCTCAGAGTTCAATTCTAAGAGAAAAGTATATTTTGGTCGATAAATTACCTGACCTAACCTAACCCCCTTTGGTACCCTTAAGGCGTTCAATCACCAAGTGGAATTAATTAAGTGGTATATCCTCACAGTTTCTCAAGTGGACTGCCGGAGACGCAAGAATTATAATAATGGAGAAGCAACAATAACAAAGGTATTTAATGGAAGAGGAGCGACATGTGAACCAATGTAGTTGTTGCAGGGGTGATAATAGTGGTAGTGGATGTAATGATTGTGGTAGTGGTGGTGGTGGTCGCTACACTTCTTCATGATCGATCCGTCGGTAACATTTTCACCATCTTCAGTCTCCTTCACACCTTCGTCGCCTGTGTGTGCGTGCGTCTGTTATTTTATATATATATATATATATATATATATATATATATATATATATATATATATATATATATATATATATATATATATATATATATATATATATATATATATATAATGTGATCCCGTAATCTAACCTAACCTATACGTAAATTTATATCTCATATTTACGTGTCTCTCTCTCAGATGGTACCGATATTATCAGTACCAAGGACCCGAAGGCGGTCTAGTCTGATAACAACCTCCTACTGATGTTGTTGTCGTTGTTCACACACACACACACACACACACACACACACACACAATGAATAAATTTTTTTTTGAAAGTTCAGGTAAATTTGTGTTAAATTCTCTCAAAGCGGAAGTTAATATTCACCATTACCACCACCACTATTACCACCACCATTATTATCACCACCACTATAACCCACCATTATTATCACCACTATTACCACCACCATTATTATCACCACCATTATTACCACCACCATTATTATCACCACCATTATTTCATCCAACCATTATTACCACCAACCAATTATTACCACCACCACTATTACCACCAACTATTATCACCATCAACCAACCACCATCACCATCACCACCACCAATAACCAACCACTATTAACCACCACCACTATCAATCCACCACCACTATTACCACCACCACCACACCAACTCAACCACCATCACCATCACCACTATCACCAACCCACCATCCACCACACCACCACCAACTATATCACCACCACCATTAACACCACCACCACCAATTACCACCACCACTATTACCACCACCACTCATTACCACCACCACTATTACCACCACCACCAGAGTCAGACACACCGCCAAAACTCAACAGGATAATTGCGTCGTTCAATTTGATGCAAGGATGGGACGGGGGGGGACCACCACCACCTCCACTACTCATGCACAGCACCCACCATCTCACCCCTTCCTCACCTCACCCTCCTCACCCTCACCTCACCACCTCACCTCTCCTCACTCCTCACCCCACTCCCTCACCTCCTCACTCCTCACCTCTCCTCACCCCTCACCTCCTCACCACCTCACCTCTCCTCACCCCACCACCTCACCTCCTCACCCCCCACCTCCCACCTCACCCTCCCCACCTCCTCACCTCCCCTCCCCCACTCCCTCACCTCCCTCCCCCTCCCTCCCCCTCACCCTCCTCTCCCTCACCCTCACCTCACCCTCACCTCTCCTCACTCCCTCACCCTCCTCACCACTCCACCCCACTCCCCACCCCACCTCACCTCACCTCTCACCTCCTCACCCCCTCACCTCCTCCACTCCCCACCTTCCCTCACCACCTTCACCTCCCTCACCCCCACCTCCCCTCACCCCTACTCACTCCCCCACCTCCCTCACCTCTCCTCACTCCCTCACCTCTCCTCACTCCCTCACTGCCCTATTTCATTACCCTGGCCTCGAGCTTAGCGTATGAAAAAAGAAGAAGAATATTTTTAATTTATTTATAAATATATCACGAGAGCAGAACCACACACACACTAGGTCAACCTCACATCTCTGACTCCACTCTTAGGCTATGTGGTGACCTGACCTGACCTTATTACCCATGAATTATCCACCACCATGTCTTATGACCCGATCTAAAACTCCAACAAGCCTGATGACCTCCCTGACCCTCCACCAAGCCTGATGACCTTCCTGACCCTCCACCAAGCCTGATGACCTCCCTGACCTCCACCAAGCCTGATGACCTTTCCCTGACCCTCCACCAGCCTGATGACCTCCTGACCTCCACCAAGCCTGATGACCTTCTGACCTCCACCAAGCCTGATGACCTCCTGACCTCCACCAAGCCTGATGACCTTCCTGACCTCCACCAAGCCTGATGACCTCCCTGACCCTCCACCAGCCTGATGACCTTCCTGACCTCCACCAAGCCTGGTGACCTTCCTGACCTCCACCAAGCCTGGTGACCTTCCTGACCTCCACAGCCTGGTGACCTTCCTGACCTCCACCAAGCCTGGGACCTTCCCCACCTCCACCAAGCCTGGTGACCTCCTGACCCTCCACCAAGCCTGGTGACCTTCCTGACCCCCTCCACAAGCCTGGTGACCTTCCTGACCTCCACCAAGCCTGGTGTCCTTCCTGACCTCCACCAAGCCTGGTGACCTCCTGACCCTCCACCAAGCCTGGTGACCTTCCCTGACCCTCCACCAAGCCCGGTGATCTTCCCTGACCTCCCAGCCTGATGACCTCCTTGACCTCCACTGAGCGTGGTGACCTCCTGACCCTCCACCAAGCCTGGGACCTTCCTGACCTCCCAAGCCTGGTGATCTCGACCCTCCACCAGCCTGGTGACCTCCTGACCTCCAGCCTGGTGACCTTCCTGGCCCTCCCCAAGCGCTGATGACCTCCTGACCCTCCACCAAGCCTGGTGACCTTCCTGACCCTCCCAAGCCTGGTGACCTTCCTGACCTCCACCAAGCCTGGGTGACCTTCCCTGACTCTCCACCAAGCCTGATGACCTTCCTGACCTCCACCAAGCCTGGTGACTTCCCTGACCCTCCCCAAGCCTGATGACTTTCCTGACCCTCCACCAAGCCTGGTGACCTTCCTGACCTCCACCAAGCCTGGTGACTCTCCCTGGCCCTCCCCCAAGCCTGGTGACTTCTGACCTCCACCAAGCCTGGTGACCTCCTGCCTCCCCAGCCTGGTGACCTTCCCTGACCTCCACCACAGCCTGGTGACCTTCCCTGACCCTCCACTGAGCGTGGTGACCTTCCTGGCCCTCTCCCCAAGCCTGGTGACCCTCCCTGACCCCCTCCACCAAGCCTGGGTGACCTTCCCTGACCTCCACCAAGCCTGGTGACCTTCCCTGACCCTCCACCAAGCCTGGTGACCTCCCCTGACCTCCATCAAGCCTGGTGACCTCTGGCCCTCCACCAAGCCTGGTGACCTTCCCTGACCCTCCACCAAGCCTGGTGACCTTCCCTGACCCTCTCCACAGCCTGGTGACCTTCCCTGACCCTCCACCAAGCTCCAGGACCTCTGCACACACACACATGCAACCATATCTTTCCACACCACTCACTGACTCACGCCTACACTATCATGCACCCACACACTATCATACACCCACACACCACCCACACTATCATACACCCACACACCATCACACACACTATCATACACCAATACACTATCATACACCACACACTAATACACACCACCATCATACACCCACACACCATACACACCAATACACTATCATACACCCACACACTATCATACACCCACACTATCATACACCCACACACTATCATACACCCACACTATCATACACCAATACACTATCATACACCCACACACTATCATACACCCACACACTATCATACACCACACACTATCATACACCACACTATCATACACCCACACACTATCATACACCCACACCATCATACACCCACACTATCATACACCACACTATCATACACCCACACTATCATACACCCACTATCATACACCCCACACCATCATACACCCACACTATCATACACCAATACACTATCATACACCCACACACCATCATACACCCACACACACCATTACACACCCACACACTATCATACACCCACACAACGACATCATACACCCACACACCATCATACACCCACACACTATCATACACCCACACTATCATACACCAATACACTATCATACACCCACACACCATCATACACCCACACACTATCATACACCCACACACTATCATACACCCACACTCATCATACACACATCATACACCCACACTCACACACCCACACACACACACACACCACACACACACCCACACACCACACACCCACACACTCACACACACACCCACACACACACACACACACACACACCATACACCCACACTCACCC